CTCCCCAGCCGCCCGGGGGTTACCCGGGAGGGGTGTGACCCAGCCGGGGTCCGCCCCGGTTCTGCTCGCAGGCGCGGGGAGCCCGTCCTGCCGTCGCTTGCTCGAAGCCCCCATATCTCCCCGGAACGGACCGCGCCTCCCTTCGAGGAGGGGTCTCGCATCACCCTGGGCTTCGAGCCCCAGTGCCCCCCCCTCCCTTCCCCAGGCTTTGGCGAGGAGGGTTCGGTGCCAGCGGTCTGCCCCTGCCTTGGATGATGCTGAAATAGTTGTGGCTGCCTGAGTTGTGGAAGTATTAAAAACAATCCGGTGAGGGCCCTCTCTTAGCTGTGCTACAGGGCGGTGTAGCCGACTGCTGTGTCTCTTTGGGGCCTGTTTTTAACGTCCTCTTAAAACAGCCCACAAGGCAAAATACATCCTTTGGCAGTGGTTCTTAGGAGCCAAAGCCACGGAGACTTCCACTGGGTTTGTCATCTATGGGATTAATCTCTGTGCTCTGAAACATGGGGTCACATTCAGGGAGTTGGCTGGGAATGGCCTCTTGGACCTGATTCATGTGGCAGTGGTGTGAAAATGAGCGTCTGGGATTTGACTTTCATCAATAAGCAGCTGTGGATGCTGCCTTACCTTTGCTGTTTGGCTTGGTTGTAATCTGCAGGAAGGAGTGATTTCCTGACCCCTGATTTCATGGTCAAGCCAAAGTGAAACTGTTTGTTGATCAGGCTCAGGAGGAATCAAAGAGAAATCAGAAGGAAAAAATCCTTGATCTTCCTCATCTTTATTTTAACGTGCTTTTGTGTGTCTCGGTAATGGAAAGGGTTTGGGTGACCGTGTTCCTGTAATATTCCTCCCACAGGGGGAACATAGCATGGCTCACACAAACAGTTGCTCTTCATGTAGGGATTTGTTGCTTCACCACTGAGGAAGTAAATATTCTGCTGTGTTATGCACATTAAAGCTGTTCTGGTATCAGACTGAACAGGGCAGTGCTCGCACTTACTCACTGTTTAAACAGAAAAGATTGGATGCAATTTACAACAGGTAGCTCTGATGTCAGCCTTACTTTTTAATGAGGATGAATGTACGGTTGGCCCTGTGATAGTCATGACTCTCTGGGGCTAGAGCTGGTCTTTGTGGCAGGTTTTATATCCTCTTTTTGAGAGTGTGAGGTTTTGTGTTCACCTTTGTCCCTTCTTTTCAAAGCAAAATTCCCCAGTCATCAGCAGCTGGATGTGAGGAATCTCTGACTGCTGCTACCCGGAGCCTCAAAGCCCTGTCTCTCCAATTTGAAAATGGCATCTTGTGATGTAGGACAGCGCTGCCCCAGTCTAGTAAATCTGATGAAATGAGTCTGTTCCCTGCTGGGGTTTGGATCTACGTGCTGGCTCAGTGCTGTGCAGGGCTGGGGGAATGGTTTGCCCACCCATCAGGCACCAACATCCCCTTCCATACGCTCTGGAGGTCTTGCTGAAAGACTAGAAGTGTCTTCCCTCTCTCAGCCTTGTCATGCTGATAATTATCTCTCGAGCAGAGCACCAGGGTTGTCTTTCCTTGTTGTGGATCCCAGTATAGCACTTCATACTCTGCGAATCCTGACATAACTGGGGATCTTTGCCTTTTGAGGAGAATTTATTCATGATGTTCACTAAGCTTGGTATAAAATAAGCTTGTTTGGTTCCACTAAAAATATCTCTGGCTCTTCTTTCTGTTACTTATTGTAACTGGTTAACAAGCGATTATTAACTGCCTTTATTTATTCAGTAGCCTACTGTAAGTGGCAGCTATCTCCAAAACTTCAGAGAGGGCTGGAAACTTCTGTCTTCTTTAGAGATAGTGATAATAAAATCCTTGAGGTTTCTCTCAATCATCTCTTCATCTTCTAAGCAGTGGCAGTGCTCTGAGATCCCACACTGGTGGCTGACTGCAGGACTGGTGAGATTTAGACAGCCGTGTTAAGTTCCAGGTAATTCTCATTTGAGTTCTCTTGCCTTGCTCTCATCTACAGAGGCATCTCATTTTGTTTTGTTTCTTTAACCTATGGGAATGGAAAGAAATGGAAGAATATAATTTCTTGCACAAACCTTTTGTATTAGAATATTTAAGCAGCTCTGATGGCTGGCACAGTGTGACAGCAACTTTGTATTCATATTAAACGCTGCATTTGAGAACAGTTTTAATCTTTATGTCAGTGCAACTTGGACGAAATGTGCAATTATTCTGCACTGGGGAATTTGAAATGATGAAAAATGACATCACACATCCCTGCTACTTGAGGAAGTGATGGTAGGAAGGGTGACAAATGTGGATCTGCTTGCTGGCATTCTGCAGATCGATCCAGTTGGTTTGTGAGCATCAAGTTTGTGGCTGGACATACTTATTAAGCATAATAGCTGGAGAAGTAAGAGAGCCTTCAAGTGCTCAGGCTTTTTCTTAGCTCCGAAGCAGGAAAGAAGTTGAGAATAATTGCCTGAGTTTAACTGGAGGCCCTAACAACTAAACCCTCTGGAAGGAAAGGTGTGGGGGACCTTTGGAGCAGAGGAGGGTGCTATTATCTCCTTGGAGGAGGAACAGCTGGGTAATGTGGCTACAAGTGCTGGAATTAAATCCCTGTTTCTGTGTTTCACAGCATAAAGTTTCAGGCTTGTTTCAAGAAAGTCAACTGCCTTTTCCTTTGGAGCTTGTGGAAAATAACCAAAGAATGAATTTTGTGGGCAACTTCTCGTTCATCTCCTCTGTCTCTCATGCTTACTCATCCTTCACGCTGTGTAGTCCAGGCTTGTGGAAGCTGGTGCCTTATCACTCTCACAGCTGCTGTTTTCCTTCCTGCCCTATCCAGGGCACAGAGGCACATGTCCAAACACACTTCAGCTTTGTTGCAAATTCCCTGCTCTTTGTATATCTATTATAGACGCAGTTGCACAATAGCAAGTGAGTTAAGCTGAGCTGCCTTGCCTTTGCTGTACCATCTAATTAAGTAATTTTTTTTTTTAAGCTACACGGTAAGATGAGAGGTCGTCTCCCTTTGAAATCAAACTGTTTTGCAGCTGGAAGCAGTGAAACAGTGGCGCTGCTCTCCCTGCCCTGCTCAGGCCGCTGGCAGCCTGCCCTTTTGACAGCAGTGCTGCGCTGGGGAGCCTCCCCTTAATTCAGGGGCTTTCTGCTTGAATGGAAGGGAGCGACAGCAAGAGAGAAATGAGTGTTTCACCTCAGTATTCTAGTGTTTCTCCTTATTTCTGAGCCCTTTCCTCACAGCCTGACCATTCAGGCTTTTAAAGTGGTTATGCAACCTTTGCTTTCCTTTCCCCATACCTTTAAGGGAGTTTCTTTTCCTTGTGCAGTTGTCTTCTGCTGGACTTTAGTCAGGCTGGGTCCTCGCCTGCTCTGAATTAAAGGGTATTATGCTAGCATGCAGTAGCTGTCGTGCATTAACTGACTTGTAAGCTGGTGTCGGCAGCCCATGTGGCTGCAAAACTGGTTAAGCTGAAGCCTCCAGAGGAGTAAGTAGTGAAATAAAACCTCTGCCTTGATCCTTGCAGCCTTTATTTCCAGTGAGGCAGTTCTGCTGGTGCTCCCCATTTTTTATAGCCCTGCCTGTCCGGGGAGTTGTACTTCCATCAAGCAGCATCCAAAACCTTGTCTGAGATTCCTCAGCCCAGGGTGATTCATAAACTAGTGCAACCTGTTGCGTAGGGAGTGCCTGCTATCGAGGAGATGTGTGAAGTTACTCATTAACTGTTCTGTATGCATCTTGCTCAGCAGAAGGCTGCGCTAAAACCCCGGGGAATGTCTCCAGCAGGTTTCAGACAAGCCACATGACTTTTCTGCAGCACACAGACTCAGTCAGCCCTGCACACCTCGATTGCTTGCTCTCACCTTGTCGCAGTCTCAATTGCTTCTCATCCCATTAACCACAAAATTAAAATGACTGATCTCGAGACATGGGTTGCTGGGGGAGGAAGGGATAAAAATCCAATTTATTTTCTCACCCCACACCCAGCTATTAGATAGCCAGGCTGTTCTCACAGTAGGATTTCCGAGTTCAAAAAGTACCTCGTTTCTCTAATAACTGTGGAGAGAAGCGCTCTGGAGGTCCAAGTCTGGCTATTATAAAGAGGCATCTTTTATGGGAAGTAGTGTGTATAAAGGAAGAAGTAAAAATAGCTAAGCGCACTGCAGGTAAGGGAGGGAAGTTTTGGCAGAGGTGCTGAGAGCCTTTGTCTAAACAATTAGACTATTTGATGGAGACAAGCAGGAGATGCTGTGAGTACAGGTGAATGCAGCTCTTATGCCAGCAGAATGAAAACCTCCAAAAGTAATTGGTGTCACACCTCTAGCTCGGCTTTTCTGGGTGTTTTGCCTTTTCAGAGCAATCACTGGCATTTTAACTTGCTGGTTCCAAATGCCCTGGGTGGCAGCTGACACCTATTAGCCAGAACCAGTTGAACCTGGAAACTCATTTTGTGAGGCTCTACTGTGCTTTGTGGATTCTCGCCTGCTTTGTGGTGCAAGTGAGGTTTGGGAGGTAGTCCTGGGTCTCCAGCAATATTCTGACTATGGGTGAATGGATTTGTGTCCTGCTTCAGGTCTCTGGAAATTAGGAATAACTCACTGTAGGTAAGTGGTAGTAATCTGCAGAAAGGGCTCCTGTGCCAAAAGCTTGTTGTAGTTCTTCAAATGTACCTCTTGGCTGAACAGGAGATTACTTCTGCTCCCAAATCTTGCCTTGCTGATAGTCATCTCCTTGGTTATTTAAATTCATTGTCAGCCAGGGCCATCTGCCTGTGGCGGGGGTGTGTTTCACCCCATCCTGTTCCCAGCTAACAAGTGGATGGAAGGCAGGCAGCGTGGGTGCCAGAGAAGCTAATGATGACCTGTGTCGGATGCTGATTTGTCTTTGCTCTCTCTCCTTTCAGGATCCCTCGGTGACACAGCTCACAAACACTAGCCAGAGTGGCTTGGATGAATTCAACCCCTTTTCTGAGAGCTCCCAGCTGGTATGTGCCATGTGTCTTTGCACTAGGTATCTTGGTGGTGGTTTTAGCAGTGCAGAAGCTGCCTTGATAGGCGCAGCTTAAAAGAAAAAGTGAGGTGTTTGCAGCTGATTTCCCCATGAGTAGTAGTTCACTGCGTGCATGGCAAGCTGCATGGAACTGCTCCTGCACTGGAGCACTAAGGAAGTCTCAGCTGGAGCTCTCTCCTCACATGGAACAGCTTCTCTCAAACTCACTGCTGGCTCGCTGTAAAGCTATATGAAGTGTGAAAGGGAAGATGTTTTGTGGCAGGACACATCAATATTTATTTGGTCTCTGGGTTGGGAGCTGAACTGCTCTGGTGATACCATTGATGGATTGCTGCAAGAATTTAGTTCTTATTTCCGGGCTGCTGCCATGTGAGATGGGAAAAGGAGAACAGGAAACCGGAGTAGAGCAATATTTGTGGTTTAAACAACTGATCAAAATCCCTTTTTGTTTCTTGTTTGCCTAACAGCCCTAATCCTCAAGTGCTGCTGCCCTGTGCGTTAAGGAACTAACAAACTTGAAAACAGTTCCCTCCTGCTAGTGCTTTCTGGTTTAGCGGTGCTAAAACTTGAACTATCCTTTACTAAAAGAAGCAATGTGTAATGTTTTTGCCCTGTTGTTTGTGATTTATATCAAGACAAATGCAGCGCGGACGACGCCAGCCATGCAGCCCTCTGGGCCCTCGCAGCCTGCTGTCCTGCAGACATCCGTGGAGCCCACTCCCCAGGTATGGCCACCCCTCACCACTGCCCTCCCAAGAGCTGGCCTGAGAGCGTTGAGGAGCTCCTGTGGGCCTTGGGAGGCACGTGGTAATAGGAGGGGAACGGGATTTGCTGGAGTTGTATGTGGGAAGCTGCAGGTGGTCTTTTAAACTTGGATTTGTACCTGCCTTGTGAAGCAGATCTCTATAGGGAATACGTACACTCAATTCTTATGTCTTTTTCCTTGTCCCTCTGGTGGCAGAGCTCACTTTGCCTTATATCTTTTTTGCTCTGGCTTCCCTCTGCAAACATTGAAATGTATCCTGCTAATGCTTTTAGCTTAGTTCTGGTGACTGGTCAGACACACTTGGTTCCAAGAGCGTAAATGCAGTCTAGCTATATGTTACAGCCTCTGCTTAGACTGGCTGGCAAGTACCCGACAGCCAGGATCACCTCATCCAAGGAACAGAGAAGCTGAGGCTGCTAGAAGAAAGGATCAGTTATCTGAATAGCAAGCAGGTAGAAGAGATGCTGAAGGGGTGTGGTAGACAGCTGTTCTGCCTTGCCTTTGAACCTCCTCTCCTAGCTGGGAATTGTCCTGATAAACTCAGGAGTCCTGCTTGCTGCTCTGTTGCAAGGTGCTTAGAGCAGTGAGGCAAACTGGGAGGTAGAAGAAGCAACAAGAAAAGCATAACTTTGCTGAAAGGGAAGGTTGTAGAGGATGGGCAACGAGACGATAGCCACTTGAGGGCTCTTCCAGCCCTGTCTTCTTGTGGGATAACAGAAGAACATCTATCTGGAGTTCTGCATTGATCTTGATTTCCTCCTCCAGCAGGTAAAGCTGAAAGCATCAAGATGGTTCAAATCAGCCATGGGTGTTCAGCTTTCAAATCGTTCTCAACCCTTGCTATTGAACTGCCTTTGCTTCCCTTCCAGCTTGGCATCTGGTGTGATGCTGGTGGTATTGCCACTGCCTCGGTTAGGGAAGGACTTACCTTCTTCTCCCTTTACTTTAGGCTGTGGCTGCAGCAGCACAGGCTGGGCTTCTTCAGCAGCAGGCAGAGTTAGAGAGGAAGGCAGCTGAGCTGGAGAAGAAAGAAAGGGAATTGCAGAATAATGCAGCCAGCATTAATCGTGAGTACTGCTTCCTGCAATGCCCTGCCTGCAGGGAGCGTGATGCCCAGGGAAGTCTGGCCTGCTTGGTTTGTCAGGATTTGATGAAAGCTCAGGCTGTCCAAGTGCAGGCAGCTGTTTTCGAAGCCATGTGTCTTTCCTCTAGTCCTTCACAGCTGTGGCAACCCTCCTGGGACTGTACCTGTCATCCCATAACTTACAAGATGGGAAATGAGCTCAGAGATGAGATGCTGGAGGCCAGCTTTGATGGGTCTTCACCCTCGAGCATGCTCTCAGGATCTGTATTTGGCCACGCTAAGTTCTTCAAACACCAATTTTGGATCCATGTCTGAGCTGTTGTGTGATGCTGCCGTGTTAAGGCTTTTCACTGAGAGCAGTAAAGCTTTTTTTCCAGTCTCAAGGCTCTGTTAACCACAGCAAAACAGTATTTTCCCCTTTTCTTGGTTTTAAACGGCTGAATCTGGGCTTGTGCCGAGTTGTGATGGCCCTTTGGCTGTTGCAGGGGAATTCTGCCTCCCACAGAGGAAAGCCCTCAAACTAGGCTGGTCTGCCTTGCTGCTGCCAGCGGAGTTAACACACCCCTGCTGTGCTGCCTGCTCAAACCTAGTTACTTACCAAGACCTAGCTTCTTCCAAGGTTTTAATATCAGCATGTATGAATGGCTAATTGCAAATTATGGTGTGCGAAGTAGTCTTCCAGTGAGAGAAGAGCAAATGAAGAACTGCTCCTTTCTCCTTTCCACAGCGAGGCAGAACAATTGGCCACCTCTTCCCAAGAAGTGTCCGATCAAACCGTGTTTTTATCAGGATTTTTCTGCAGACATCCCAGCTGACTACCAGCGGATATGCAAGATGCTGTATTACTTGTGGATGCGTAAGTAATAGCTTGAACTCTAGTAAGAATTGTTTTGAAGAAGATTCTGTATCAAATGCTGAGCTTTGCTTTACAGTGAATTCTGTAGGTGTTGTCTGCAAGGGTAAAATAATGCCTCTCTTCCTTCTTTATGAGGGCAAATGTAAAGGACTCCAAGTTTATCCTTTGGGAATAGCTCATTCATGACAGTTTTGATTATTGGTTAGTGGAGACATGAACAACTCTCCTGAGACTCTGAAAGACAGCAGCACAGTTCAGAGATTGGGTCTACTCTCAACCCTCTCAACTGTATTTGTCAATTTTGGTGCTCTGAAAAGATTTCAGATTTGGGTGTAAGCAGCAGGATCAGGTGAGGTTCTTAGGTTAATCTCCATTTTCTTTTCAAGGGAGGCAAGTAAATTAGATGACCCAAACTCTCCTTAATTTCTGCAGAGCTCCATGTGCTCAGTGAGAGACTAGGGATGCTTCTGAGTTTCCCAAGAACTTACTGGTGTTTTTTCTCTCTCCCCCATCCTGAACAGTGCATTCAATTACCCTGCTCCTAAACCTGCTTGCTTGCTTGGCATGGTTCACAGTCCAGACAGACAGAGGAGTAGACTTTGGTCTCTCGATCCTGTGGTTTATTTTATTCACCCCTTGTGCCTTTCTCTGTTGGTACCGACCAATTTACAAGGCTTTCAGGCAAGTACTATTTTCTTCTGTAATGGGGATGTATCTTTTAGTGGGAGGAGCTTTGGTTTTATCTGTTCCAATCATATATTGCCTGCAGAGTTCTTCCAGCTCTTTGCATTGTTAAAAAGATCAAACCCGCTTGTTCCTAAACATTCTGGAAGTATCTAGTGGAACTTAATTATGGTGGTCTTTTTTTGTCTTGAACCCCAAGTCTAGCCAATCATCAGGTTCTGCTTTTGTATTCATTTCTGAGAACCTGTTTGGCACATGAATTTGTTAAGCATGCTGCATGTGTTAAGGAAGCTGCCTTCACCCCCACCTTACACTGGGCAGAGCAGTGGTTTTGTGATAACGCAGTGGACATGTTGTAAGTTGTGTTGCTGCATAAGTTCCTCCTGGAATCACCTCCCCTTAGCAGCTTTCCCTGGGACAAAGGAGTTCACTGAAATTGTTTCCCTTCCTCTTAGAGAAGGGAGTCTGTGCAGGGATCATGTCCTGGGTTTCACTCCTGCTGTCTCTTCTGCAGGTCTGACAGCTCCTTCAGCTTCTTCGTCTTCTTTTTCATTTTCTTCTGCCAAATAGCAATCTACATCATCCAGGCTGTCGGCATTCCTGGCTGGGGAGACAGGTAAGCTTGGTTTCACGGGCTGCTATATCACAGCCCACAGCCCTGCATGGATGCTTTTTCTCATCAGGGCTGTGACTGTCAGGAGCTTTGGGGTCCATTTCTGACAGCTCTCTGTTCTTTCTCCTGTGGTTTTTCTCTGACAGCTTTGGCAGGTCCCAGATGGGCTGCCTCTCTCCTCTGCTTTTCCCATCCTAGTCCCGGAAAAGGCACATACCTTTGCTGCTGTTGCGGGCCAGCGCTGAAAGGAGTATGTGAAACCTTCCGTGCCTCCTGCTGCCTTCCCCATCACTTACTACACATAATACTTATCCCTTCTTGATGCTGAGCCTCTAGTATTGACTGCATCTGCCTTGTGTTAAAATGGAGCCTCTCCTGATGGAGGCTGTAGTGTGGGGGTGAGGGATCTCTGATCTGGAGTCTGGGTGCGGCTTAACTTGATACTGCTGCTAGATTTGGTCCCCAAACTTTTCCTGAATTTCTCTCAGGTGTGTTGTTGGTGGGCTGTGCTTCAAGAAATAAGCAGAAAGGGTTTTACCCTCACCCATTCTTCGTGACATTGCGCCTGATGAGTCTGGGCTTCTGGAGTGGGTCCAACAGGCCTCTTGCCAGCAGCTGCCCCCTGCAGTGAAAGCAGAGGCTTGCTTTTCGCGTTGCTGCGTTGGCTGGGGATCAGATTCCGGAGTTACTGTGAACAGTGAAAAGGTTAACAGCTAGTGGTTTTTCTCCTGAGGAGGAGTCTTCAGGTGATGAGCGCAGTGAAACTGCTGTCTATTTTTGCCCTCTGCCTGCAGAATGGCTCATGAGCAAAGCTGTCCTCCTGCTCCCTCCCCTGCTAGCTGGTGCTGCCTTTGTCACGGGGGTCTAGGAGGGGGCACTCTGTTTTTAGTCTGACTTTGGAGAGCGTGTGTTGAGCTTTCTGCTGTGTTTCCTCCAGCCAGACAGTGCGTTTATTTTTGGCTGTAGTGCATGGTGTGCCTTTCCGCTTCCTTATAATGAGGAAGAAGTTGTGCCGCACGTCAAGTGGGGCAGTTTGGCTCACTTGATTCCCTCTCTCCTGGTGGCACATGGTTTGCTTGGCTTAGCAGTTGGAAAGGTTCCTTTCTCCAGCACCCAGGAAGGTGTTTTGAGTGAGGTGTCTTGGTATTTTTGCCCACAGCCAGGGAGTGATAATTCCTGGCATCCTTCCTGCCCCTTCCCTTCAACAACTGCCAGCTTCCTCCTTTCTGTAGATCTAGCTTTATCCCTTCCTTCCTTTTTCTGCCACCTCCGAACACTTACGTCCCTGGCCATGCAGAGCTGTCATGGTGATACGTAGATCTAGCCTCCAGATCTGCCAGCTGATCTCTTCCAATTTAGATGTACCAGCGTATCTTTACACTACTTGGCCAAATTTTGAGAAGGTGCCTGTGGAAGTGACTTGATCTATGGTGGCGCCAAGGGTATTGACTTTGCTGCTTAAGGGGGGTAAGCTGGGAGCCAGGGCTGTAACGTGGGTAGGGTGAGCCTGATTTTCTTGTGTCGAGGTAAATTGTTTCTAAAAATGATAATGGAAACTCTAGCCCCAAAACGAGTGCCTGGATGAGCTCTGGGTCCCTGTTTCCACAGCCGTTCTGCTCGGTTTTGCACTTCCCTGTAACCTTCCCCCTAGGGCTCTTGTGCAGCCTCTTCTCCCACTGTTCCATCTCATCCTGAGGGTCAAAAGCTCCCCGTGCTCACCCTACTTGCCCCTCTCTTGCAGCGGATGGATTGCGGCGCTGTCAGAGCTGCACGGGAACCTGGCTGTGGCTGTTATCATGATGGTGGTGGCAGGATTCTTCACGCTGTGTGCGGTTCTCTCACTCTTCCTCCTGAAGCAGGTGAGTGCCTCGGAGGCGAGGTGAGGTCTCGGCTGATCCACAGGTCAGGCTGCTCCCAGGGTATCTTGGGGTTGCCACCTCCTCTCATCTGTCTGGGGATTACCGTGCTTTTGAAGAGGTAATCAGGGCACTGTCAAGATCTTTTAATGGAAGTATTTTTGCTTGTGCTTCCTGCATCGGTGCCAAGTTGCTTGAGCACTAAGGGGACTTGCAGGTGGGAAAGCAGCATCTGGGGAGGGAACAAGAGGCACAGATGCTTCAGTAAGGCATGACATTAACCAGGCACGTTAGAATAAAGAAGGGTGTAGTAATGCTTGCTGCGCTGGCTGCTGTCCAGAGAAGATGGTCTGCGAGGTCCCAAATGTCACCCTCATCAAACACGGACATCAAATTTCTTGCATCTCTCTTTAGCTTGATTCTGTCCAGAGTTGGCTGAGTGGAGGCGGCTTTAGTTGGGTATCCAGGGCTTTACAATTGCTGCTGCCACAATGTGGGACTTGTCAAAGCCTGGTGGGATCCAAACAAGTGCCTTCCTGCTGGCTCCCAAACACAAGCCCCCCTTCCTCCTTCTGATTGACCACATGAGGGCTGCATTTCTGCAGTTAACAGCAGGAATGTAGCTTTGGTGAAGGCAAGGACAGGCTGAACTAGTCCTGTTTCTATTGCTTCCTCCTCCTTTTCTCCAAAATTGTTATCTTCAAGGAAATAGCTGATGCTTGTAGTTGCAGGCACCTTCAGGTCCTGCCCCGTGAGTGTCCATACCATCACAGCATAGGGAGGGGAGTTTTTACTGAGAGCTCCACATTTTACAAGAAAAGAGGGTCTCCTGAAATTTGTAGCATCACATGCCAGGTGAGATGGAGACTATGGCCATCCTCTCCAGCTGCCGGGAGAGCTGGTTAGCGATGGGGCTGAGGAGGAGCAAGCTGGTAAGCAGGGTGTGTGCAGCGTGTGTGCAGCAAACCCATGACTGTGAGCTGATTCTTTTTCTCTCCTGTTTCCCAGGTGCATTCCCTGTATCGGCGCACAGGAGCCAGTTTCCAAAGGGCCCAGGAAGAGTTTTCCCAAGGCATCCTCACCAATCGGAGCTTCCAGAACGCAGCCGCTGGGGCAGCCTCCTCAGCTGCACAGAGTGCTTTCCGGGGAAACTAGTCCTTCCCGGGGCTGCCTCCCCCTCGCTTCCTCCACCATCATCACCCCAATTTTTTTTTTTTTTTTTTTTTTTAAATTTTTCCCTAAAGATGCACTTTTCAGGGGTACCATGTTAACTCTGTGATGCCGACTCCAGATGAGGTCTGGTTTTTTAGCTTCAGCTGGCCTACATTCATGACTATTAGTTTTCCCTGTCTTGTTTTAGGGTGTGGGGAGATAGGGGAGACATTCTCTGAAGCAAATATATTTCTCTATCCAGGACGTACTGAGTGTTTGTCTCTCTTCCTCCCCTCGCCCTGTCTGTAGCAAGAAGGCGAGGGGAAGCAGGTTTTGATTTTACCCTGTTTTGTTGGCCTTTGCTATGAAGAATTTGATTATCTGCTGTTTTGGGGGGGTTTTGTAACTTGCATGTAGTTTATGTTACTAATTTTAAGAGCAGAAACTGTACTTTTGGTTTATTACACTTACACGATGCTGCATTTTGACCTCTTAACTGCTCTGCTGCCTGTTATCCCAACATGGCACGAGGGAAAACCTTGGGAGCGGGGGGGGGGG